AAATTTAATCTAGAATTTGATTAAGATTTGATTAAGAATATATTAAGAAATTATTAGGATTTGATTCAAGATTTGATTATGGTTTGATTAAGATTTTATTAGGATTTGATCTAGAATTAGGATTTAGATTGTTTTTTAGAACTTGCTTACAAATTATTTGGTCTAGGATTTGGTCTAGGGTTCAATTAAGATTTCTATTTTTAATACTTTTAAAAAGATTTTTTTGATATTTTTTTAGGACTTATTTATTTAATATATTTCTTTAAGATTAATTTATAAATTTTTTATGTTTTTTTATAAATTCTTTGAAACTTCTTTGGAGGTTTAATCAAAGATTGATTAGCATTGTTATAATTTAGTTGGAGTATATTTAAGGTTCTATTAGAATTGTTAAGATCTTCTTCTTGCAAATTCTATTTTGTCTTTCACAGCCAAGTATCTAATGCATTCTCAAAAAAACTTCACAAAACACAACAACATTGTAGCAAAAGATAGCTTTTTAAGAAATAGAATCATTTTTTTGGCATGAAATGATAATATAAAAGGTATTAATGAAAAAGTTCTTTTCATCTTTTTTAGAAAAGAACAAGAATATTTAAGCTCCAATGAAGTTATTGTCAAAGATAGTGCTAACAACAATAATATTTATCTAGTTAAATTTATCAAGTCACTTAATCCATCTAGAATGGCCAAATTAAGCCCTTGTCTCAAGATTGGATCTTTGGTGATGCTACTAAGAAATATTACTCCTCGCCAAGGACTTTGCAATAGAATCTACTCAGTAATTATATGACTAATGGATAAAGTTTTTAAAGTAAGAATCCTTAAAAGCAAGAATAAGCAAGAACGTCTTGGATTTATAATAAAAATAAATAAGTTCTTAAGGCATTCTATGAAGTATATTGGTTTGGATCTACAACAAACTGTTTTTTTCCATAGTCAATTTTATGTAATACTTTCTTGATCCACTTCTTCATGTTTTATCAAGATTCTTCTTCTTCTAAAGAAGAATTCAACTTCCATGTTAAATATTATTTTTTAGAAGTTTTGATTAGTTAATTATTAATAATTTTTTTATACGTAAATATGTATTTTTAATTATTTATAGTTACAAAATTTGAATTTAGTACATCTTTGAATGCCTAAATATAATTTTATATTTTTTTATGGTTATGCCTTAGCAAATAGTTCCTTAAACAAAATTAACTAATTTTTTGCATATTATACATAACAACAATACAAGTTTAACTAGTCCACTAAAAGTTCTATTGTGTATTTTATTTCTTTGTTTCTTAAAAAAATTGTAGAAATAGTTTTTGGCTCACAAATATATCTTCAAAAAAATGCTTCTTTCAAGTCATACTTTCTGCGACAACAACACAAATTTAGCTAGTCTCTTATATAAAACAGCTCAGTGGAGAGGGAGGGAGAGGGGGACAAATACATGGAATAAACAGCGCAGACAAAATGGCACTCTGATTTGCTGCATGCATCTCTCTTTGTTTTCATCAAAAGTGAAATGTTGGAATTCACATAGCCTTAACAAAGCATGAAATTTTTGTTGAACAATGTGTTTGTTACATGCATCTCTCTTCAGTTTCTTTGTTTCAATATTTAAATATGCGCAAAATTATTCCATTGCGGTATGGCAGATGTAAAATTTTACAATGAAGAGTTCTACTGGAAGGTGTTCAACTAGCATTTTATTACAATTGAGAGGAACGGGAGGGTGTTCAATTAGCATTGTAAACATTCAAAAATATTTTATACTTCAAGGATTGCATTCAAATACAATTTTTAACAACAACGTGCGTTGTTTCATTCATTTGTAAGCCACTGTAAGTATCAATGGATGTTTTTTTGTTTGATTCAGATATTTGTTGTGCAGATACTTAGAGAACATCCAAAGCTCAAAACATTTGAATGTGGATTCCGTAGCACATAGTGAAGCAAAGTTTTTTTTTTTTTTTTTTTTTTTTTTATATAAGTTTTGGTTGTTAATATGTTATTTGAAATTGTTTGCTTTCAATATGTGCCGCAGCTTGAGAAGGTTTTTTTGATGTCACATCTGCTACAAGATTCTTCTTCAAACCTCCACGCTCAAATAAAACCCCTTCCTCTTCGCCGAAACAAAATAACCATGAATAACGTTATTGAAAATTATTTGCTTTTGATATATGCCACAAGTAACAGAGAAGCCACTCGCAGCTTGAAATGGTTTGCAAATTGTATCTAACGCTTTATTCTCTCCAATAATACAAAAGCTTGCCTATTACTTATTGAACCTTATGGATCATTGGGTGCTTCACAATCCTAACCACGAAAGCCGTGCATATGTAGCAGCTTGGGAAGCCTTAATTTCCAAAAGTCTCATTTTTTATCATCTAGTTGGCATTCTTTAGCCTTCATCATTTTAACTTTTTAGCTTTCTATTTTGCAAGTGAAAATTGGCCGTTCTGTGTCTACGGACATAACAAACGACATAGAGTTTGTATCCTTGCTAGTGGAGGAAGAGTTTGTTGTTGTGCTACCAGGTAAACATCAACTCTCATCTCAAGAATCGTTGATCATAGTTATCTACCTAAACATGATCTTGCAACATTAATTAGGTGTTAATTAGTTCAGCTTAAGGCGTGGAGGAAAAGATGGAACACAGACCTAAGCTGAATCCAAACACAGGTGGTAACACAAAAAAAGCCAAAACAAAACAAGACCAGGAAGAAATAAAAGAAGCGATGGCAAGATAATGGGTTAATGCTGCAAACTATGAAGTTCAATAGGAGGAACATACTTTGCAGAAATTCTTCAAAACTTCTGATCACAAGGGTAAAACTGGCTTCTTGACTGAAATATTGCTGCAAGAAAGCATCTTTAACAAAAAAACAAGGAGACGGTTGCTACTGCCTCTTTTGACGAAAACTACATCTTTATCAAGGAAGTAACCAGTAAATCCAAAATTATTGTATCTTGAATATACAGGTTCTATTTGTTTTTGCTTCTTTGAATGGAACTTTATGTTTTGTAAGCGTTGTCATGAATGTTTACTCTTTATTACATGAGAAAAAACATGACCTATCTTTTTCTACATTTGCATCACATGAGAAAAAGTTTCAGCTTTTTTCACTTGAAATCTTCTTGTGGATTCTTTTGAATGCAAGGAGTCATAGTTCACGCAGGCGTTGTGAGAGGTTGAAAGTTGTGCGTGGAAAACAAAGGTAAATTTTGGTTCCTGTTTGTTTTTTTTCCGTTTTTTTAGTATTTTCTTTGTTTTTACTTTGTTGGGATTTTTATTAACATTTTGCACCTGATATGTGTGATTTAGAGATGGTGTTGGGGAGGTGAATACTAAGTTTTGATAAATCTGAGTTTTTGTGATCAGAGGTTAGGGTTTAGTGGCTTTCACATGGACGTTTTAAATGGATCATTTTCTTTGTTCTGCACCTTCTTCGATGCTTAATGGTGAAAATGTAACTCAAACAAGGAAACAAGACCGTAATTTTTATTAAAGTTGTGGCTGATTGTGCAAACTCCTCTGTTCATGCTAGAGACAGTCTACTTGAATGAGTGAATTCTCTTGAATTTTATTAAAATTGAGTGAGTGCAATTAGTGGCACAAACTTCCTTTCTATCTTTTTGCCAATCTCCCTTTCTGCCAAAAATTTTAATTTTTTTATAAGTATTGGTTGTTAATATGTTATTGGAAATTTTTGGCTTTCGATTCAATATGTGCCACAGGTAACAGAGGAGCAACTCGCAGCTCTCTTCATTACATGTGACCAGGTAGAATTTGATTTTTCTGTTGACTCACTCAAATCTCTCTTGATTCAAGGTTTTGTCAATCGAGTATTAGAATTAGTCTTCCGATAAGATTGTGTTTTTGATCTACCTACTTTGTTTATGTGTTTGTTTTCACTATAATTTATACAGTTCTTCGTCTGTCTCCATGCAGCTGTAATGGTGGGGTGAAGTACGCTTTTCTCTCCATTCATCTTGATCATTGGGACGCATGTACGATGAAATGAATTTCCAAGGGAAACAACTTCATGGTGTGTGTTGTTCACTTCGAAGAAAATGTAATTTACTCTATTCTATTGTATATTAGTTATAGGAGCAGTAGTTAGCTGTGGCATGGCGATTAATGTTGAGCTTCATTCAGGTGAGGACTGAACCGGTGTTGGTGTTTATTTACTATGGCCTGCTAGCATCCTCTAAGAGTGATTTTGCAGTGTTTGCGAGTTCATGGATGTTGCATGCGTGGAAAGGAGCGGAGCACCAATCTGCATTTCTGATTTGATCATGGAGTCGTGAATTTTATTTAGAGAGTGAAATTATCATGAGATCTACAATAATAATATTGTATGTATCACTTACAATTGAAGCGTTTGACAGGAAGTTGATGTATGTTCGTATTTTGCGGCTATCCCGTTGACCTAAATGTACATTTGACGTGATGTGATTTTATGGAACAACAGGAGCGAGGGGGAGATGTTGCGAAGCGGGAGGCCAAGACCTTGGCTTGCAGCGGAGTGTTCGATTTGTTGGCAACATTGGCAGGGTAGATCCTACAAAGAGCGAGAGGAGAGGACGGTAGCAGGAAGTTCCAGATTGGACATGTTCTTGGCCAGCATATTGTCGGATTATTTGTTAATACGCCCGATCTGTGACCTGTCTCACTATGTTGGTTTCTAAGCCTTTTTCTTTAATGTTAAACACCTCTGTTGGAGGTGATCAGAAGTGCTTCTGTCACACAATGTTCAAAAGGAGTTCGTTTTTTTGTTGTAGACATGAAATTAATGTTGAAAACTTGAAGTGAAATTCTCTTTAACTACAATAGCTTAACAGCCTTGAGAACTCAGAGCAGCTGCAGGGATACATCCCAATGGTGCAAAATACTGTCCATTTCCAGAACATTTCACAGTTTGAAATTCGCTCAAAAAATATTGAGACCCCAGATACATAACACACACAACGGAAATTACAGATTCTCGAGATTGCACATGTTGAACTAGGTAATATAGTCACATGTGTTATGCGACTAATCAGATTTTCAAGATTCCGTGACAACTGCACGGGTTCAGCTAGTTTAGAGTACAAAGATGCTCATGCTTCTCATGGCAACAAACCCAGTGTCTACATGCTGCAATGTCCATAAAAACTACAAGCTAGTGAAAAGCAAGGTTAGCCGAAATTCATGAACCGAAACATTACTGGATTCATTACAACTTTGCATAGAAATGGAAGAGATGCAAAAGCCATAGCAACTCCCACCTGTGGATGTGCAAAACAACAGACAAAAAGCAGAAGGCGAGGGAGTTCTTGGAGGGTATGAAACACAAGTGGTGCTGTAAGCTGAGGTGGCTCTCATCTCAGCAACCATGGCATCAGGCTTCATAGCTGCGTTGTTCAGCTCGTTGCAGACCCATTTGCAGATTCTGCCACCACAGGCTTGCATTTCTGGAACTCCAGCGCCACCTTCACAGTGCACATAGGCTTGTTTTCAGCGCAATGGTACAGACACATGACAGCAGCGGGCGAGAATGTAACATATTTCAAGAAAGGGAGAAAGCAAGATGAGCATTGTAATACCGGAATGTAATACGGATGGGTGCCGATTGCTGCAATCACCTGCAGTCACCGAATTCCATCACCTGGTTAAACTGAGCAGCTCATTGAGTGGTAAGGTATTTCAGGTACCGATCCACATTTTGATTGTTTGAAGGTTTTATATTAAAAAAACGACTGGAGCATGGGATGGATAAACTAGGGTTTAGTGCAAACTGTGCAGTGTGAGCGAGTGTGGTGTGAGGGACAAACCGTCTCGAATCTCTCCCCGCGTACGTTGAGCCGCACCTTCTGCATACCCTTTCTGACGACCACACCTTGATACTCATCCTCGGATGAGTAGACTATGGCGCTCGTGGCGATGAGCTGGTCTCCAGCGTCCACCAATCCTGACTTGTATGCGTTTCCACCTTCGATGACTTCCCCCACCATCACGTTGCCGAATTTATCTTCCTCGAAGGCAATGCCTGAAACGGAGCCATGTTTTGGCAATGATCAGTGGGGTAGCCATCGCTAGATCCTGCTTCGTTTTCCTCTAATTATACGAAACCCTAACAATATGGCGTTTCTGAATGTGGTCGGAAGATAAAACGAAAGAAACGACTACGAGGATTAGCAGGGGGGTGATGCATACCTAGAGGCTTCTTGAGTTCCAGTTTAATTCGACTGCAACCAGCCGGAGGGAGATCGTCATCATTGTCGCTTGCACTTGCAGATGAGTTTGTGTCTGAACCGAAAATGGCATTCACGGGCTGCGACCTCTTCAATTGGTTGCCGCATAGCCCATAGTCAGACTCGAATTGCTTCCCTAAGCCTACGCAGCAGTGGACACACAATGTTTAGCAATTCGCATTGCGCGCACCATCAGACAATTATGAGGAATACTTGAGACAGTTGCTCCGGAATCAGCTGCTCACCGCACGGTTACGCTTCTTGAAGCGAATTGCAAGGTTCATTTCAAATTCAGAAGTAGGACATTGCAGGCATTGGAACTGAAAAATACCTTGAGCATTTTGATCCAAACATCTAACCCCTGTTACGCCGAACACCAAAATCTAGAACAATCCCAGCGGTGAACTGAAATTGGAATTTCGTGTCACGCACAAGTCACAGCAAACCACTTCCTCTCCGAAATTTCACCCCCGAGACTCACCAGCTTGAGAAAAACAAACCAACTTGAATGAAAATTTTGACCAAAAAACAACACTCCACCACGAACTATAATGTCCATTACCCAAATTCGGCCCCCCAATAAACGCCCACGTTGGATTTCTCGCACCAAACCACAGACTTCCATTAGAAACGCCCACACTCTACTCTTAAAACCACGAAACAGACACCACTTTGTAACTATCTAAAACAATTCCCCCGAATCGAAAAGACGAGGAATTACCCAAACGAGGACGTCGAATGGCTATCCCGGGAAGAGATTGCGAGCAGTGCTGGGAGGTGATGCCTGGGGTTGTGGGGGGTGAGGCACAAGGCAATGCAGAGGGGCGGGCACAGGCGAGGGCCATGAGACGTCCCGCCATAACCAACCCCTGGACAACAACAACAACAACGTCGACGACGACGACGATGGTCACCACCACACTGGTGCTGCTAAGGATTGCTAGTGCAAGAGCTGGTTGTGATGGTGGTGGTGGTGGTGGAGATTCGAGATTCGCAGCCTGTTTGAGAGCTGGGTGGAGCTGAAGGCTGGCTGGCTGCGATGCAGTCGATGGCTGGGACGTCACCAGGCTCGGGTTGTGGCTTGTGCACCACAAGACTAGGCTCTCTCTCTCCCTTTCTTCTTCCCCCCTTTCCATGCCTTTCCCTGCATTGCTCACTAATATATATATATATATATATATCTCCGCATCGAAATTTCTAGGACACCTGGCTGATTGCCTGCGCTATTGCTCTAGTTTTGACGCTGCGAGCTTCACTGTGGTCGCTGCTAAACACCATTCTTGAGTGCTTTCTGAGCACTTTTCATGAAATTGAGCTTGTAAGGTGACGCTCCGAAAGTAGAGACATATCCATGTCTGCTTTCCTCTTTTCATGTCCCTGCATTTGTGTTTGTGCTTGTGTATTGTTGTATGTATGTGGGTATTGACAGTTTACTGTAGAACAACATGTTTTTTTTGTCTTGTTTTTTTTGTTTTCATGAATACTGTAATTTTGAAAATTCAATTTGTTTTTATTGTTACTTCGGATAGTGTGATTGCATACTTCGGTAATATGATTGTGAAAGAGCGCACTTTTGTGCTTGAGGATGAATACATTTTCTGGGCACCTCGTGTATGAGAATGTAAAGGGAGTTCAGTAAATTATTAGTACTACTGGTATTATTTCCACACGCGTTACAGTGCAACGCAAGAAAATAAAAATCAAAAAAAAAAAATTAAAAATTAAATAAATTCTGCCCCGAGACAACAACGTCCTGTAGAATAGGGCACAAGCTTTCCCTGCGTCCACAATGGTAAGCAGCACAGACAACGTCGTCACTGCTCAACGGCCACTTATGGTCAGATCCTGTAAGACATGCCTCATTTGAGGCTCTGTTGAAAGAATACTGGAACGAATAGAACTACCCTGCGTGTCTAGATCACAGCCCATTTGGAGCCTTATTGATCAGAAAACATCGATCAAGGAAAACTACCGCGGTGCGTTGAGTGGGGAGCTCCCAAGCCTGGGCGAGGTTCCAGCTTGGCGTGTCTGGCCAGGTCCTAAGCATCTCTAATCACATCTCTGCCAATGAAGGATGGTACTCTTTGTATTATAGTCCACCTTCTACAGGTCTCATGTTCTGCGGAACCCAAGCCTCTCCGTCCACGAAGCTGAGGGACAAGAATGGGACAACTTCCAAGTCTGTGAGTTCATGGGACCAAGCCACTCTGCCAGCCTGATTAGCACCCGGCCCAGTGCATTTGTATTGCCCATAGTACACCGTTCTGCAGACCATGGGACACCGTCACCGTTATTATTTGACCTCGGAGTCAAAACTAGCGGAGCCTTCATTCACTTGCAGTGAGCCGCAGATGTTTCTTCTACGGCGGAACAACTTGTCTAGATTCTAAACCTAGTGAGCCATTCCATGCTTTTTGCATATTTTTTGGAAACAACCCATTCACACAGCATTCCAGTGTTGACTATCACGACAAAGGTTTCTGAAGCTGCATGAGTAAATGTAGCATTAGGAATAGTCAAGGCTAGGCAGTGGGCTTACGCTTGTCTGGTATAATTACCCCAGTCGTACCAGCCAGGAGCATAAATGATATCGTTCATCCACGTGAAGGAGTACACCACTCTTGAGAATGGGCCCCAGGCGCGTCCTAAGTATACTTGGCCAGCTCCTCCAGTGATCCAGCAATACTGGAACGAAAAACCAGAGTTGTCGGTTGCATTTTGCCTCTTCTGTGCAGTAACGGCGCCTGAGGAAGTTGGCACCACATTAAGTTCACATCTCTGCAAGTGTGATGGCAGGTGCAGACAGTCAATTAAATGGCATCAGACATAGGCCAGGTGTACTGTTGTGTCTGAAGTGCAGGATTTGAACAAATATGCAAAAAGGATATGAACAATCCAACAAAGCTGCCTGCGTACTGAATACGAGGTACCGAGCCGTTACAGGACAAAAACAAAAAGTCTCATACGTAGTAGATGGAGAGACCGTCTCCGAAGATGAAGTCGATGCTTCCTTGAATGAAGCACTCCTTGAAGAAGTGACGACCATTGTGGTCATACAATGAATCCTGGTTACCCAGTATGCTGCATCTGTAGAATACCGCAACATCTGAAGTGATTCGTAGAGCCACAGCTTGCATTCCGATGGCTCCTGATTCAGGAGCTGGTGCAGAATTCTGCGCACATATTTCCGCATGTAAATAGAGTTAATTTAGCAATTCCAGTTTACTCGTATATTTTCTAACTGGATTATAGACCGCACTCCCTCGAATGTAGCATCACAGAACCAAAACTAATATCTATTGATTGGAATTGATGTTTCGCACTCACCTGGAATGTCATATTGACAGCCATGAAGAAATCTCCTCCCACGCCGAATGTGGCACTCTCAAAAGTTCGATTATTTGCATTTGTCTTATTGTCATCCCAAACTATCACAGGATTTCCTATTCCTACCATGGTGATGAATGGCTTATCTTTACCAATGTACACCTTCTCCCTGCATTAAATGAGTGACCTAAGTTAGAACGACATAGCTTCTTGCACCTGGTGCTCTGTATGAATTTCTTGTAAATGGATTTTCCAAAACCATTACTTCTCAAAACAAATGTGAGTTCTAGCAGACTCTGTCAGGTGGCGATTCATCACAGAGGTTCGATTTTTCCGAGTATACATATTGAAAAAGCCCAGAGATTTGCTGAGCAGGTAAACACTTCGCAAGACTAAAGTATCTGCTTCGCTTGCCCGGTCCTATTCAACCTAGAAATATGAACAAGCAGAGATTTAAGGCTCACGTGGTAGGATTTACACTAACAGAAGAAAAAGGGTTGCAACGCTGTGTCAAAGAATGGTAAAAAAATGAACATCACCTGTAAATCCCTGCATTAACTTGAATAGTGATGCGGTAGCGGCGAAATATATCACTGGGAATAGAATCCAGAGCAGCCGAAATTCCAGTGAACTGACCTAGCCCATTCTGATCCACGATAATATACGTTGCAGACGATACCACACTCTCCCAATCCAGGTATTGCTTCATCCCGGGGTAGATTTCGGAGAGGTCTGGCTCGGCTGTGGACGGATCCAGGTCCAAAAGCTGAGGATTATTCTTAGCCTTCGCCCTCATAGCCTGCTTCCTCATGTGCTTCTCCCCAATCCTCTTCACCCATTTCGCAAACTCTCCCGAGGCGAGGTCATCTCTCGCTGGCCTAAGCGGTTGCCTGTCTGCGATTTGTTCAGTGGATTGATGGTTATCTAAACGGTGCCTACTGCATGTGATAGTCGGAGGAAAAGAAACCAACAGAATCGCTATGATAGTTACATGGAGGAGAGACATGACAACCGCTGTTACACTAACTACCTCACCTGGTGAGGTATCAAAAAACTATGCTGGAGGTAGGAGCGTCCTCCCCTCCAAACAACTCTACGACCAAAGGGTACGTTCTCGATGACGAGAGAGAAGAAAATTGGAGAGCTGCTACGAAAACTTCAATTAGTGGCAAAGACTAGAAGATTCAGCATCGTTTATAGAACACTAGTACACGGTGGCCAAGAAGCTGGATTTTCTGGCGTACAGCAGTGTCGATGGGTACAAAGCACGTATGGCCGAGTCAAGAATAAATCTATCTAGCTTCTTAAAAGCTATGCATTCGGCATAGCTTGTAGAGTTCCGAAAGCGAACGGTGCAACCCTGAGACGTTCAGGCGAAATGATGCATGGTGAGATGAGGTCCGTAAGTAGTCCAGTGCTTGTCATGAGTCCCTAAGCAGCTTCCGAGTCCCCATCACTGTCGTACGGTGTGTCAAAAGAACAATAAAGCTGGTGTGAGCGATGAATCAGGTGATGGTGGCAATCAGTTGGGGGGGCTGAGCAGCTACCTTGGATGTTGTAGAGCGGAAGTAGTGCTTGGGTAACTAAGTATGAATGCACTGTCAGTGAAGGTGTAGACGGCGCCAGTTGAATTGGTGTCTCGTATAATGGCAACGTTCGCCTGACAGCTGCTCCCCTGACACTTCCACGACTTGTCAGTCTGGAAACACTAGTGTCACACTGGTAACGTGGACATGTCACCAACCTCCCACCGTTGAAACATCGCCAGAATTCCAATTAAATACCGTAACCATGGGTGAAGTTACAGCAGAAACCAAAAAAATATCCGACTGGACCCCGAGTCTCAAGTTATGGTACGCTGATCATTTGGGTAGGAAATTATCCTTTTCACGTGGGATATAAATTTCTGAAAGCTGGGCACAGAATGATTAAATTTATGACAATTTCCTCGCATTCTACTCCCGAATGTCAATTTTGACGGAATTCTGTGTAAGACTGTTTGAGTTCATTTAATTCCATCACGGGAGTTATTGAGCTGGCTTGTACAAGGCTTGGAATCTAGATAAAATCCCTCTGAAGGCCCTGAGCCATCGCTTTAGGAGAGGGTGTGCAGAGTACCTTGAAAACAACCCTTTTCGTCGTACGTGTTGCCTTCGATCACCCTTATACTTGCGTTGAGCATGATCTTTCTTCCCTGATTGTGATCACATTATGCATGTTTCCACTTCGATCCGTTAGTATGGTCAGAGGAGTCATTACCTCCGCGGGGTTTTAACATTTAGGTTCCTCACAGATTCTCTAGCTCATTAATTAGGGAAAGAAACAGTAAGTAGTGTACCATCGCTTGTCGATATCCTAGCTTTTGACTGGGATTGTAGTTTTTCAACATGCACCACTGTGACTTTACAACCAACGGTAAACAAGATGATCTTAAACCGTTCTATGTCAAACTTTAAAGTCGCAGAAGTTCGTGAGTCTTTTTGTAAAACACCTCAGTTTCATTGCAATGTAGTTGTCTCAATCTAGACTGTAAGACAGAACTTCTTCATCGACGTTCTATCTGGAATCAACATATGAACATTTCATAGGGACCCCAATTTCTTATTTAAGCAAAACACAAAGGTTACCACGATGCAATGAAAACGACTTCAGTTTCAACCAGTGTCTGCAGGATTATTGCAAGAATAAACTCAACCAAAGATGACGGAGCACGGCCCTCTGAGAGGATGAATTTTTAGTTGACTGCATTCAATGGGTTGAATCTCCCATCACGCAGGCGTTCCAGGCTGGCTTTGTGGTGGAGTTGTGCTAAAAATTCATGAGATGGTAGCTTTTGAGGTCGTTAGATTCAGCCCTTCTACTTACGTACATCATTCACAAGCTGAATTTCTGAGGAACACAGTTCCAACATCCAATAACAGAAACTTCGTTTAACTTGGTACAACGACGCAATTTAACCATTATCATGCACAACCTGCTTAGCACTCACCGTGTGAGCTACATATCCAGTATTGGTTCTCAATTCATTCTCTCGGTGTTTTCTTTCTCCTTAACAATCAGTGATTTTTGTTTTGTATAATTCAGCATGAGTTTAAAGAGAAGTACTTTGTTTTATACATGAAAGGAAAGAGAACTACTTTGTTTTGTATAAATCAGCAGCAGTTCTTTCTATTTTTATTTTTCAAAATTGTCTACGACACGAGAGCTTCACGACAAAGTAGTACAGTTGATGCATTCAATGACCGAACTGTAACTTACCAATCTGCAATAATGTTTCTCTCAGGCTGCTCAATTCTAGGAAATTGACAAAAAGGGGCATTGCAAGTGAAACCGAGTACATTGAATAAGAATATCTTGGCTCTTGATTCCATTGGTGATGATGATTCATTCACCATGAATGGAAGTTGTGTGTGCCAGAACAATGCATCCTTAGAACTCATGGGTTGTGGATGAGATTCCCCGAATTTTGGTCACTCTCAAAAAACCTCCTACAACTACAGGAACCGAAGTCGCCAAAACAAACATGTCTCACTTCAAAGAGTGCGCAGATGATTCTCACAGTTTAAGTCCAAGGGAGGGTCAAAGTGAGAGTCCTTGTCCTCCAAGAGATCACCCCAGATCTTCGTGACGTTCATTTCGATACGAAGTCGGCATACACAGCAAGACAAACTCAGGACTCGACTAGGGAAAGGCGGTGGTTTATCGATTTCCTCTAACACGAGAAAACACATGATCTCCACTGTCTCATCGAGTTGGTAAGCATCTGTCACGAATCAACCGAGGAAACGTTTCTGAAACTGTGTAGTCATCGAAACTTCCGCGAAGAACTCCCGCACCGTCAAGGGTTGGATGATTAACTGCCGAGAGCAAGACTCTTCCAGCAACTTCACGCTTAAGATTTCAGCGACCCCATCCACCTGCAACCACCGCTAACTCCACAAACAGGGCACCGGGGCATTAGGTTGCTGTAACACAACAGTTTCCCGATATTCCGAAAACACTTTCCCTCAACACTAATGTTGGAATCCAGAAAATCGTTTCCATGAGAAGTGGATCCGACCACAGAGACGTTGTCCCGACCTTGGATGTTGAAGCATGTGCGAGCAGTGGAGAAATTTACCGCTCTCAACCGCAAGAGTTGGGGCATCAGTTCAAGGCCGTTGCTGCTTGCAAGCAGATGGAAAGGACAAGGACCCCCGTGGAGTTCTTTGTATCTAATTGCAGCACTTTTGATAATCGGTTTCCTAGGCTGTTGTTTCCCGATGGTGCATCGACACATCTACATTCAGAAGGTTCGGCATTTGTGTGCTGGACTTGATGAAGTGTAGGGAGCAGATTATACGGCACTTAAGTCAGCAGCTAAACTGTGAAGAAAGTGGGGGATGGGATGATAAATGAAGCTTTCATTTTTATGCTCAGTGGAGTGATCGGTGGAGGGCATGAAACGATCCATCGGTGAGAAGTGGTTTCTCCCAGGGCCGAAGCACTCTGTCGGTGAGCAGAAAACTAACTGTTTTGTACTGGATTTATGATACTTTTCATATATGGATGTAGGACACAGTTCATCCAACTTTTTTGGACGAAGTTCATCCATGAACGGCGTGCATTCGTCGCCCGAATTCCTTTCATCGCTGAGAAGTATTAAAATTCCTTTCACTATTTAATTTTGAAGTCCATTTGGAATTAAGGTTTTAAAATTTATCATTATTTATTTATTTATTTATTTATTTATTTATTTATTTTTATGTTTATTTTTATCTTTGTAGTTTCCAATATGGCATACTCATATGTCTTGTATGTGGCATCTATTCATCTTATAGATTCAAAGTATATTATTTTTTATGTTTCATTAACTTTATTCTTTTTTGTGACTTTCATTATTTATATGTGAATTTATCATACATGATGAATTTTAAACTTTAGCCATAACAAGTGTACCATGGTTTTCAAACCTCCCACTTCTTCTTTGTTAACAAAGTTTAAAAATAATAACTTTTGAACTCTATAAAAATTTCAAGTAATAAACTTCGTTTTAAAAACTTTATTTATATGTACAAGTTAATATTATAACAGATACTAGATTACATCTGATTATCTTTTGTTTATCGTTATTTATTTATTTGTGGCTCCACAAAATAAGCAGTTATTTTTCTAAATATCATTTTCATTTGATTATTAATATTTTAAATATTTTGTCGGGTTTTGATGTTTTTTACAATAAACTTGTTAAAATTTGAACAAAAAAATAATATGACACACACACACACACACACACAAACACACACACATATATATATATATATATATATATATATATATATGTAACACTTGCAATTAAAAAATAATGTTATTTTAAAAAAAATCTTGCTAAAATGTGAGATTTTCTCCAAAACAAATCTCTTCAGAAATAATTTTGAAATTTAGGTTTTAGAGTCACTTTGAAAATCAATATTTCAACAAGAAATGGATTTAAAAAGAAGAAGTATTATCTAAAATAGTCTTGATTAATAGATGAAAGCATATAAATTAACTTTTAGACCAAAAAAAGATTCAAGAAAAATTTAATTATCTTACACTTGACTTTTTATTTCTACAAGTTTATAAATGAATAAGTGTTGTGAAGAATTGAATAAACAATATTTGTATATTAAAAAAATTAACACTATGCTAATTTTTTTTAGTATACTTTAATTCTAATAAATAAAAATTTCAGGAAAAGGATGAAATAAAGTGCACAACATATTCACTTAAAACATTATCAAATATTATTGGTTATTCAAATATTGATGCTAAATATGTGCATAAATTAAAATTGTTAACTAGAAAAAATAATAATAATCTAGAATTTGTAGATACCGCCAAAAAAATTGTTTTAAATTATCAAAGAATATTTAATTCTTATAAAAAAATAATTAAATTCGCAATTTTTCTTCTACGTATGTCTAAAATCTCCCTTCCTCCAAAATTATGCCAAGTTTTTATATATTTTCCATCTTGGCGTACCTATGTGCCTCGTGTAGATAAGGAATCCCCGAAGCTCCCTCGTGGACGCCGAAGCTGGGCGGCTCGGTTGGGTTACGGCGAGGGGACGAAGACGGAGACGGAGCTCGGACGAAGACTAAGATGGAGTGGGGACGAAGCGGAGACGGAGATGGTGCGGGAGTGAGCTCGAGCTGGAGGAAAGGAAATCAGCGGCGACGCTATTGCGAAGGGGTGGTGGTGCTCGTCTCGTCTTCCTCCTCCTCCTCCTCCTTTGAGACTGTGCTTGCTTGCTTGCCTTCTCTGCCTCTGGAGGTCGTGATCCTCTACCATTGCACTTTCGGAATTGTCTTCGTTAGCCATGTCGGTCCGGCTCGCGGCTTCGTCACGTCCCGGTGCTATTGCATCCCGCCATGACTACACTCACCAGCATCAGAATCCAGTGAAGGCCGTTGCTGAGAGCTCTCGAGTGAGCCCGCTGCACAACCGCCTTTCTTCTGTCGCAATTCGCTCTGGATCTTTTTTTGTACCTGTCGCTGTGGAGAATGGACCCCGGCCTTGCAAGTGCTTGACAGGTAGTCGGTGTGGCTTGGAATCGGATTTGAATGGAGATTGTGTGGCACAGAGTCGGCGAAGGTTGTGGCGAGCACAAGCGTCGCAATCCGGGACCGCCTTGAGGCCTGAAGTGGAGACGGTTGGATTCAATGACGGGAGTGCCACTCGGTTTGCGCCGCTGATCAACGGGTGCTGGACTCTGGCTGGTGGCCATGGCCGTGTCGTGGAGAGCGAGATTATCCATGTGATGGAAATGTATGCTCGGAGTGGACTGACGAGCTTCGATACTGCGGATATCTATGGGCCGAGTGAGAGCATTCTTGGCGCCTTTCGGGAACAGTGGATGAATAATAAACAGGAGAACGATGGACTTCGAGACGTTCAGGCAAGGCATCGCGCGTACTTCACGTTTTCAATGCTTTATCGTTACAATTCAATTGCGCGCCAATTTCGACGGAAATATGCAAATAGAGACACAGTAAACAGTAAACTGATTCATGTTCTTCCATCTCGAACGATTGCATGCAATGGTTTCCTATTCTATTTGATTGTATGGAGCTGTGGAGAACTTAATTCAATTTTGTTGTGATTCAGATATTCACGAAATTCTGCCCCAACATCTTTCGTATGAAAATGACTCCTCAAGTGGTCGAACAATCAATCAGGCGGTCCATCGCAGCGTTGCGAGTACCAAAACTTGACCTCGTGCAAATGCATTGGTGGGACTACGACATGCCTGGAATGGTTGACGTTGCAAAGTCGCTTGCAGAATTGAGGGAGAAAGGTCTAATCACAAGCATTGGCGTCACGAATATGAGCACAGAAGCGCTTTCTCAAATCATCGATGCAGGGGTTCCAGTTGTTTGCAATCAGGTACTTATTATTCCATCACATATATGAATATAAACGTCGAATGGACAGTCAATTATATCATGTTGTAGTGGGATTACTCAGGATTCTATTATGAACTAATTGCAATTATTTAGCCACTTCAAAGCAGCGTAACATGGTTAACTTAATATGACAAAGGCAGCTTAAACTCGTGCCCCTTATAAGATTATTGCCGCACTACTAAAAGTATTTCTATCATATGTTGAAGGTACAATTTTCTTTGCTGGATCAACGACCACGAATGGCGATGCTTAAGTACTGTAAAGAGAGGGACATTAAACTCTTCACTTACGGGACGCTTGCTGGGGGTTTACTATCAAACCGATATCTAGAAGAAGGTAAGAAAGGCCTCTTTGGAAAAGTGAACTACACTACACCAGATCTCAATACGTCCAGCTTAAAAATGTACTGGCGTGTTGTGCGAGAGGCTGGCGGAGAGGGCCATTGGAGGAAGCTGCTGAGTACTTTGGGCGAAATTGCTGCTTCAAAGGAGGTTAGCATCGCTTCTGTTGCATTAAGGTGGGCTATGCAGCAAGGACCTGTGCACCCCATTGTTGGGCTTAGAAATTCGACTCATTTAGATGATAATTTAACAGCTTTGAGCTTTTCTTTAGAGCCTGCCGAAATGGATAAAATTGAAGAAGTTCTGAGAACAAGCCAGGGACCTCGTGGGGACTGTTACGAAATGGAGCGGAGTTGATAGGTTTGATTAAGACTTTAGACGAAGTAAATGAACAGTACACCGAAATCGTGTACTAATTTCTCAAGTCTCACACGTACATACTTAGAAATTATTCAAAGAGCAGCCAATTGTAAATCTTTGCCTTCGAATCTCACTTCGAGCTATGTAAGCCATTGCCTCTAGAGAAATACATCAATGGCATCCTTCACTTCTTCTACACGAGTTACCTGTGTGGGTTGGCAGGGTTTGTTCTTAATACCTGCGTCAGTTGGAAAGTTTTTGTCCTGACAAGCATCTCATGTAACCCCACTTCTTTCAGTTGTGTTACCTTATGGCTTTTGTTTTCGCCAACTGAACCAAGCATGGGTCCCATGAATCATGCCAATCTGAGTTTCAACGCTTGCGCATAGGACAAAAACGGCATATCAAGTTTGAGGATTCTGTCTGTTTTGCTGTACTCGGCTTGCACTTCCATCGGGGAAACATAGAATTGCAGCTTCACCTGCACTCAGAAGGACAAATTTAATGTCAGAGCTGGAACCAATATAGCTAAACAGATCAACGATAAGCCTCACGTTTTAGATGGGTGAACAATGTTGGGTATTGCACCTCTAAAAGGCCATATGCCTCGGTGTCGATGAAAATGCCATTGCTCGTCATGTGTACATGCATGTCTTCTAGCCCAATCTGCGGCTCAAATCTCAGCAAGTAGAATCTTAAATAAAGGGGTTCTACGTCTCACATTGAATCGAAGGGAGGAGAAGCTAACAGCGCCAGATGATGAACAGTGTCTTGAACAATTGATATCACACAGCATCACATACAAGTACAGGAGGGTGCGATGCTTACGAAGTCTACAGGAAAAGTCACAATGGTGAAAACAGTGACCACTGGCCTGCCGACATATTCGACTTGTACTTTTGGTGTTAGCAAATTCTCAGGCAGAGGTTTCTGCGGCACATCTTTTCCGTTCGATTTGCCACAGTCTCCAGACATTTCCACTTCCTTTTTCAGTTCCTTGAACTTGAATTTACCTGTTGTAGGCCTTTTCGCAGTCGTTCTAATTGTCTCCTTGGAATCAATGGGCGCCTCCAAGTTCTTACATGATGACTCTAGGCTTGGAACACAGGACGACGTGTTCAAGTCCGAAATGAAACATGGATCTTTTAGATCCAATTCGGAAGATTGAGGAGTATTCAATTCGCGAAACATTGCTGATGGTAGCCATGGCTCTGCTGGGGAACTCTGGGTGGGCAAGATCTCCTGGGGATAAGACTAAGTCAAGGTCTACGAATAAGACAATAATCTAACTCTTTGATGAGAATAAAATAGTTCGATTTGAACTCGAGAATAAGCTTTCCGTGAACGACGCTTATATGAATGCTCTCTGCAATATTTAATGCACCTACTCTCTTCGGAGCATTATGTCGAGTTATAACTGGTACTCAATAAACTTTTACATTGACTCAAGTGTCATATTTCATAAAATGAGGATACAAACTTGGAATCTTGTAATTCCAAGCTCTGAACAGGCTCAGATGATGCGCTCGTTTCCAGAGTTTTAGACTCCACGCTTCCAGTCGTTATGACGGGCTGGTTCTTGGGCGCAACTTCAGTTCTTCCATCAGCATCAGAAGCGTGGAAATCTGGTACCCACTCTGGCAGCTCAAAATAGCGATCAGGATCGACACCTTCATCTAACTTGCAGTTTTCTTGGGCTGCATCATCTGGCAAACCTCTTCCCTGTTTGTCACGTAGGAGCAGAGGAATGGTGGGTTCTGCATCTTCATCGTCATCTGGATACAAAGCGTTGAAAAGGTACTGGACGAATCAGGGCATTTAGAAAATTTGATGCATTGACAAAATCTTCTCTCGTCATTCTCCTGTTTGTTTAATCTTCAAAAAGACCTCTTCTGTCTTATTTCTTGCATTCTGGTCGATGTATCTCAAGAAGATGCCAGACAAAGATCATGACCAAAGACGAAAATGACATTGGATTCTGATTACAATCATAAGACAAACTATGAGCCTCCTATTAGCTTTGTGGAAAGAAGAGAATATTTACCACGAAGTTCAGAAATGATGGGCCCCTTCTTGGGGTCAATCCGAATTCTATGTTTGCCGACCTCCTTCCCTTTGTACTTTCTCTCCAGTATTTTGAAATCTGTTGACATTTTTTAGCAGATAGGTCACACACAAGCCCTCGGCTAAAGCACTGTGCAAGTTGATCGTTCAACATGATCTGTTGAAATTGGTGGGTTATCAGCACTGAAGATACTTCTTTCAGGTCTTGAGCTTGTGAGTACCTTCATCCCTCTTTCACAATTCATTTGACAATGGACAAAATGAAGTCGAATTCAATAGAGAAATTTACCAACGCTGAGCTGAGTCTTGTATTTTTGGCTTAGCCAAGTCAGTGCCATGTCAATGATGAAAACCTTGAGGGTCTTCACGGACATGGCTGATTCCACCACCGTGCGATTGTAACACACATCATAGATCGCATATGTTTTCCCCTCTGCATCGTTCACATGGATTCCTTTAAGCTGAGTACCCCTCACAATGAAATGCTTAAAACTTCTCTTACCATGATAGAAGACTACGTGCTCATGTCCCAATACTCATAAGTTGTGTGGTCATCAGTACTGTCAAAAATATATTATTTCAAAGTGGAAAATGCCCAGGACCAAAGAAGCCTAACTCTTATCCTTCTGAAAAACGGGGTCCAGACAACTGCAAGGAAAGCGCAAATCGGGACAATCGGGATCCTCGGACGGATCGAATCTCTGAAGCTTAGTCTTTAATTCATCAATTGTTTCTATGGTTTCCTCTCCATAGTCTGGAGTTCCAATCTGACCCACAACAGACAATTGAATTTAGAATTTTTGGCAAGAAATTTTATCAAAAGAGCGTAAGTAAAGGCAATCACATTAGCAGGGACAATTTCTATCATTAATTATTTTTAAACTTCCTGAAAGAGACTGAAACATTATGCTTTTAAACATAATCAACGCAGTTATGGACTAGGTTATTAAAAGCAACTTGATCGCTCGAGAGAAATGCAATCGTCAGCCCTAGAGTGAAGACTGTTACCTTATGGGAACCGCATACGTTTATAAACACTTTCTGCTGCTTCTCATTCTTTGTCTTCAGCACGAAGAACGGCTTAGGGATAATCTCATCGCTTGTGGGAGCAAGTGCCGGCTGTGTAGCATGTGATGGAATCTTCATGGCTTCGTCGATGGGGCCGTCTGTTGGGTAGTCTTTTGGGAGGCCACTTTGCATGGCTTCAAGTAAAGTCTGTCCGCCAGACATCCCCAAAGTACCTTCACAAGTTATACAGTCGTAACGGATTACCCAAAAGTTGCTACGATTTCAGGGCTTCAGATGCACTCTTCGACACGTTAAAGACGGTGCATAAAGACAATAGCATTATGAAAGAGATTTGACCTAAGTTCGGGTGCTAAATCGTAAACATGGTCTGGTAAGTCCAATATCTGAATGCATGTAAACTGAAAGTAGATGTGTTTGCCAGGAGATGATAAGGTGGAAAACTCACATCAAGTTCAGGATTAGGTTGTCCAATTCCTTCCGCTCGAGCTTTTTGGTAAGCCATGAGCATTTTCATCACGTTTTCAACCTCAACATTCGAGACTCCTTCGCCTGCAGGCCCAGGATGGCGATAACGGACCTCCTGATCCATCGTCATTCTTGGAAGAATGCTCTGTCTAACTCTTCGTGTCAAAATCTGATCTGATCAATTAGTTGTCCATCAATTTGCGGGTCATTGGGTAGAAATGAGTAAGACGAAAAAGATGAAGCGAATAGTGCTGTTAAAGTCCAATTTCTCCCTCAAACTCGTGTTTCATGCAACGGCTTCAGTAGTTAAGCATGCCATGCTCGAACACCATCGTGCGGTTACACATTGTAACCACTACATGAGGTCAGGCAGCTTGTTAAGTCAGGTCTTTGTCATCAGGTCGCGTCAACTACAAAGGCAACCATCATTGATATCAGAAACTTCAGATGAAATGACTGTAAAGGGGAGCAGTATCGATTTAAGATAATCTTCAGGATCTTCATCACTCTAAGTGATTCAGGGAGACTTTGCAAAACTTGACCTTGAAGCGGAATTGAGCCCAGCCTCTCAGGCTCTCCGCGTTAACGGCGTATCTCAATCCCAAAATTTCTTCATATTGCCCAAATGTAACACGTCTTGCTGAGTCTAGATGACATTCAGAACAAGCATTGTGACGCTGAACCCTATTTTAGTTCTTGCAATATCATAGAGAGGAGAAATGTGGAGATAAGGCCAGTAGCTGAATGTTTAATCCAGACGAGTCTTGTCTTTCAAGAGCTGGACAAGGTGTAGCTAAAAAAAACCTAGTGATGAAAGACTGCATAATTTGTAACAATAACAGCTTCAGAAACTTGGAGCACGCTTTTCCACTTGACACAACCTTGAGTTGGTACTGTAGGAATCTGTCAGGGAGGTGAACTCAACACGTACTTGCAGCTCCAGCGTACTCCATGGTAGTTCAAACTGTGATATATGAGGAGTATTAGCTGTTTATGACATTGAGTTGATCCAAAAAATTGATGCATTAGATAGAAGAGAATTACTAAATTCACCAGAGAAGCTACGAGCTGGAAAACCTAGGGATGCTTTTGATCTTCGGTATTGTCAAGTGTTGATATTTGACAATCGCTAAGGTGTGTTCTAGCGTTTCTTATATTAGCGAAATATTGCCCTAATTTCGTTGCCTAATGAGGTGTTTCAACCGGATTGTTCTTGTTGTTTTCTTTTTCTTTTCAATTGCTAATACTCACCATTGTTTTCAATCTTTGTTTCCAGTCTTCCAACAATTTTGGACAAGGATGACAAAACTTTGCTAGCAAGGACGTGGCTAGTAATTCCACATGCATGTAAACCTTGTTGGAATTTATGACCAAATTCACATCCTTCAATTTGATGACATTGTCATAACCTTGACATGTAAGTATGTTGTTGTATTATGTGGAAAATTAATCTCGGAATTCACTCAGCACAAGGTTGTTCACAACTTATAATCATAATAAAGTTTTAAACAAACTTTAATTATCTATTAAAAATTATAATCAAACTTTAATCAAATCTTAAAGAATCTTAAAGAAATCCTGAAAGAATCATTACATAATTTATAAAAAAACATCAAAAAAATTATCAAGAACATTAAAAGAAATTATAAAATAATCTTAAAAAAGCTCCTAAAGAATTTATAAAAAGTCCTTAAAGAAGTCTTTAAAAAAATCACAAAGAAATTATAAAGAAACTTTAAAGACATTCTAAAAAAAAATCCTAAAGAAATTATAAAAAAAAATTCTAAAAATATTCTAATCAAATTCTAATCAAATCCTAAATAAATTCCAATAATACTAGCAAAATCTTTTAAAAAATTCTAATAAATTCTAAATAAATCCAAAATAAACCTTCATAAGTCTTAATGAAATGCTAACCAAAACCTAACCAATCCTAATCAACCTTAGGATAGTCTTTAAAAAATTAATAAATATTGATCAAATTATTAATCTTGCTTTAAATTTTGTATACATTGCAATCTAATGGTTAACAAAAAGCAAAATTTTTATTTTTTTAAAAAAAAAAATCCAACTTTTTAATTGAAAAAAGAACTTCTTAATTTCTTGGATGCCAACCGTCTTCTTTCTCTAATCTTGACATTGATCTTTTAATAGCAAAATCTTCTTATTGAATTGTTTACTTGTACTCAAAGTCAAAAAAAATTTAAAAAGCTAAGTTTACAACTTGTTCACAATATTTTGCTTTAATTCAACTAATGAATTACTTAAGATCAAAAAAATCCTTATTAACCTTTAAAATTCAAATTTTGAGTTCTTAACTTGGTTGAATTTTAATAATCTATAATCTAATCATTAAATTCAATTCAAATTTATAAAACAAATCTAAGATGAGGAGATACACAAGTCCACAAATTTTTACTTATTAGTATATTGGAATGCTCACAAAATATGCAAACATATAAACATTTTTTATTTTTCAAAATTCCAAATCATTGAAAACAACTCTTACTTTGAAAAGCTATAAAAAATTTAACATTGATTCAAATTACTCAAAATTAATATCTAATTATAATTTATAAATTTTTTATTCTAATATTTCTCTTCAATCAATAAAATAATTCTAGATTTTTTGTATGGACATAGTTTTATAGCTCAAGGTTTGATTTCAACCTATCTTCATAATTAGTCTTCTTTAGATATCAACATCTAGTTTTTTTAGATATTTTTATTAGAAGCTAATATTTTCTTTTATTTTAATATTTCTATAATACTAATTTTATTAATATATCTTTTTATCTTATTTATAGCTTTACAAAATAAATAAAAGTCTATTTTATAATAAGATAGTATTAGCACTTGTTAATTTTACTACCTCCTTGACTATTATCTATATTTTTAAGAAATATTTTTACTATATTTTAAAATAAGATCTGCTAAAATATAATATTTTCTTCTCTCTTTTATTCATTAGCTATGTTATAATACAAAAATTTCTTGAGTATGATGGTAGGAATTAAAATGTCTCTTAAAGTTTAGTTATAGTTACTTAATTGATTTTGTTAGTATTTGTATCTATATTTTTTTTTTCTTTTTGAAACTAACTTAAAATTTTATTTTGAATAGATTTGTTGATTTTATTTATTTTAATATTACTTTTACAGAGTAAAAAAATACTTAAGTTGTGTAACTACTTATAAAGAATAATATTCTATACAAAAAAACTTAGATCTAATAATGGCTTCATCAAAAAACTTCTTAATATATATTTAATTTTTTAATATATAATTTTTATATTTACTTATATATAACATTGCAATTATACTATTTTTTTGTATATTTTTTTTGTTATTATAGTATATTACAAGCTTGTAATTTTGTACTTCATTGTTTATAATTTCTCTTATTGTTATCTTGTACTTTGTAATTTGTAAGTTCTACCTTTTAATGTGATTTTTTCAAATACTTTTCTTGAATTTTGAGTTGAGAATTTGAGCATAAAATTATAAATTTAGGATTTTTTTCCAAATGACTTCTAGAATTTAATTGTATGGTGGACTATAGAAGAACACAACATGTAAGTATTGAATGATAGAACAATAATAGAACTTGGATTCTAAAAAGTAGCCAAATCTTGTAGAACTTTAAATTCAAAAGATGCCAATACTTACAATGTTACCATAGTCTATAAAGATCCTTAAATTAATGGACACACTTCATTGGTACAATTGTAGTCAAAACTAGTTATAGTCTTTCCTTGCTTATTTTCACTTAAGCTATAATGCAAAGGACATTGGCTTTCTTTTGTATTCAAATAATATATCTTCTCTACAAACAAAGTAAAACAAGATATATCCTTTAAAATCACTAAAATTGAGTATTACAAGATATTTACTTGCATCCCTATAAAAGAATATAAATGGCAATTGTTGGAAAAGTCAATATGTAGCAGTATCTTTTTGGATTTGATTACTTACTTATACAAGGATAGAACTAGAGTTAATGAAAAACGAAAGATAGTTGATGAAGAAAAGATATAGAAAAAAAGAAGTTAAAAAGAGGTTTATTAATCTTAAAAAATAAAAATAAAAATAAAAATAAAAAAACAATGTTGCTTCTAATTAAATTGTTAATAAAGATAAAAAAATAATATATTAATTTTTTAGATGAAGAAATAATATTTATATTAAGTAGTATTGATGACTCAATAAAATTTTGTTCTACTAAATCATATCTTATAATACAAATAATACAAGACATCAAGGCAACTTTAAGAAACATAAGCAACCAATTTATCATAGGTAAAGATGTCAAAAGCTTTGAATGATATAATTAAACTTGTTAAGTACTTGATTTGTAATGTTGATAGAAATTAAAGATAAGTTATTAAAAGAAAATAGAATATCCTAAAAAAATATGTCAAACATTATAAATCACTCAAAAAAATTAAAGGTATTATAAAGAACCACAACTTGTACTATTTAAAGAATTATGCATATGTAAAGAATATAATTTTATATGCTCAAAGACAAGTATTGATTGTAGTTGAACTAAAACAAAAGGAATCTAGAGAATGTACAAGAAAGCATGTCTAATATGCATCCATCTTCGATTTTTGTAAGTAGGTCAAGAAATGATATAATATAAGAGTTTGAACCACCTATTGAATTTTTTAAAGATATCATATATATAAAAAAAAGACTAAAATCATATTGTTGGTTGAGAGATGGTGAAAGTGATGCACATTTAGATCAATCAAAATGTAATATAGATCAAGAATGCTAACTAAATAGCTATCACATACAATAAGGTATATTTTAACATCCAATTTATAATATGTTTGGCTATTTTAGCTTTTTTAAAAAATTAATTTACTTTTTTATTACATACTACTCTTTTAATCTTTGATTGTAATTTTTTGGTATTTTTTTGTAGCTAATAAAAAATGTTAATAATACAAATTAGATTTGTATGCTTATTTACATGAAGCAATAGCAGTTGCTTAAGCCAATATTATTGGCACTATATGAGGCGTACAATATAATTGCCATAAGTTTGACAATAATAATTATGAATGCATTGCACATTTGAAGTAGTTCTAATTAAAAAGACATAACAAAAAAATTAATTTTATTTGAGGCAAATAGAAAAAATATCTTTTAAGAAGTGCAAACTAGAGTTACTTGGCCATTAATTAAGAGCTATGCACCATAGATATATAGTACACATTGTATGTTCCACCAAATTGATCTTGTATTGAAGAATTTTTAAAAGATAAAGATTATATGAAAAATTGAAGATCTTTTAGTAGTAATATATTCTTTTTTTTCATACCAACCAATGCAACATGTTGAATTCACCAAACTTGTTGCTTTAATGGACAAAAAAGATAGCAAGATACTTTAGATAGTAAAAAAAAAAGATGAATCCAATAATAAAGGTAATAAAGCATATAATTTTTTAATGCTATATCATTATGTACAAGATGTAATTAGTTTCAATAACTTTTTAAGTTGTTGCAACTAACAAAGAATGTTTGGTGTATATAGAGATGATATTGAAATTAGTAAAATTATTATTATTTTTAGAATAACTTGATCAATTCATTGAATTCTTCTACAACCAAAATATGTTTATTTGTGATTATATTGTTGATCTTTAATCATACCAAATAAAGATTTTTATCCATTATCAAAGTTCACAATTAGCATTTTAGTCTAATACATTTTAATATTTTTAAGCTCTTATTTCTTTATAATATTTTGGAATCAAGATGATATAGAAACTAGACTTGAATAATAATATATTATACAAAAAAAACCTTGAAATGTATATTTTTTCTATAATAAATCAAAATTAGAAGAATTCTAATGTATTTCAAAAAAAATTTGACCTAACTTGATTATACAT